TGTTTCACAGTGTCTGGAGACAGACTAATGATGTCTAGAAGAAGGTCAGTAGTGACTTATTTGTGCTAGTCTAGGGAGCAGTGGGACTCACCTGAAGCTAGGGAATCGAAGGGCTGTATTATGGGTAACATGTACAAATCCAGGGATATTTCAGTTGAAAATAAAAGCCCTGGTTAAAAACCCTGTATTGTTTTCAATGATGGAATAGAAGCATGGTGGGGTACAACATGAGAAATCCTAGTTTTTACTATTCCCTCTGTCAGCAGACCAGAAGATCTGCATACTAGTCCAGTTCTGGATTTTTTATTTCATTTTTCATTGCAACTTAATCTTGTTTTTCCCTCATCCTATCCAATTATATTCTCTATCATTAGTAAACTGTTGTTAAATTACAATAATTGGAAACAAGTGGTACATGATTTAAGAGTGGGTTGTAGATTTGAAATACAAATTATGTGGGGAAGGAAGGGCTTGGCTCTCCAAAAAAAGCTTGCAGCTCAGACTAGAACGGGGGTGGGAACCCTGTGCCCCCCAACTATTGTTGATCTATGATTCCCGTCAACCTCAGCCATTATGACCAACAGTCAGGGATTTAGAGGATCCATAGATACCCCACCTCTTGGTTAGAGCAACTGATAAATGCAGAAGAATTTTAGGAACAGTGAGGGTAAATATGATATAGAGCAATGAAAAATATAAAGTAACACAATGAGTTGCAGCGTCTACCAATCCTCCCTCTTCCTCTTCTTCCTGCTCTTTTTTCTCTTTCATCCTTTTTCTACACAAAATATGCTGATATTTCAGCCAGAAGAATTGAAAGCTAATAAACGAGGATTCAGCTCAGCTTTCCTTTGCAGTAAAATATTTAAGGTGTACATTTGAACTGGAGACCAGGACACTTTACAATGAAACACAGATAGGTTCATTGATAGCATTGGAGGCAAATACAGGCTTAAAGAGGGGTGGAGTTACAGCCCCTCTTTATAGACTTATGCAAATTAGAATATACATGTGATTGGATACAACAGCTTGGAATTTCATTGGATATAACACATCATGTGCCGAGTGAGGTCAGTGGCCATTAGGGTGTAACTATGAGGTAATGGGGCAGGAGTACAAAGACAATGAGGTTTTGAAAGAACAAAGAGGCAGTATTTCATGAACATCATTTCCTTCCAGGGAGTTACTTTCTTCTGCTTTCCCAGAGCTCTGCTCACCTCCTAGAATCTTTTCCCAGCATATTAGCACACTTTGGCCTTCTAAATGTTCTATGGCTGAACTAAGTTTTAGTTTCCCTGGGGAAGTGTTTGTAGAGAGGGTAGATGCCCATTTTGATGCTGCATAGCTGAGCCTGTGCTTTGTTTTCCCTGGCAAGGTGTATTTGTGTTAGGGGCTTTTAACTTGGCTCTATAAGATCTCCTATTGTTTTGTGAAAAAGGCTTTGTGGAAAGGGCTTCAGATGGATTCTCAGTATTCAGCAGTGTATTCTAGTCAACCACAATGTATGCCACCTTCACTGATTTGAAGGCAGTCTTTAGCTCAATATCTAGGGAGTACCTATGGGTGAAATTGGCAGAAAGAACTATAGAGCTTTAGAGTCTTTGGGGTTGGTTGTTTTCTTGCAAACATTTCATTACCAGGCTAGGTAACATCTTCAGTGCTAGAAGGGAGTGGGGACTGCTCTCTGCTTATATACAGTAGCTTGCCCTGACAGTGTTGGTGGGAGTGTTGTCTTTTTTCCTTGGTAGTTCCTAGATTAGGCTGTTGTTTACTGCTTGATTGTTTATCTGAATTGTAGTTCCTTGATTAGAGTATTGTTTACTGCTTGATTGTTTGTCATGGTGTTAATATTGGTGTTAATCCCTGTTTATCTGGGTGTTGATTGCTGGCAAGGAGGTGTTCTGGTCTTTTTATTTTTTTGTTGTCTCATTTGAATGGTGTGTAAATGTTGTTTATCTCTATGTGCCTGTTCATGGCTGATTTGTCTGAATACCAAGCTTTCAGGAATTTCCTTGTGTTTTTGGGTGCATCTAAGAAGCTGACAGTTTCCCAGTTGAAGCTATGGTTGAGTCTGTCTATGTGTTGTGAGATTAAGGAGTTTTCATTGTCTTTTGATTGGTAGTTGGTGTTCATGGATGCACTCTTCTAGTCTTCTGCCCGTCTGTCCTACATAATGGCTGTTACAGTCCTTACACTGTATGTGGTAGATGACTCCTGTTTTTTCTTGGGCTACTGGGTCTTTTGATTTACTTAAGATGTTCTGGAGGGCTTTAGTTGGTTTGTGTGCTATGGTGATGT